CAGATACGCGGCGTGTTTGCGCGCGGCGCTCCCGGCTGCCCTGCTCGTCAGCGGGGCCGCCGGTGGCCGTGCCGGGAACGGCCTGCGAGCGCGGCCCCTTTGCAGGAAAGAGCTGCTGAGATGCACCTTCCCCGCGCACCCGGCCCCTCGCATCCTGCAAACGCGCGGTGGGAAGTTTCCACGGCCAAAGCCGCGCTTGAACAATTTCCTTATCCTTTTTGTTGGGAACCTGCAGCAATTTTTTTTAAAATAAATATCAAGATCCTAAGTGGATCTGGAATACATAGGGTAAAAGATATTAAAAAAAGAATGATGCCGTCTCAGATAGTCCGTCGTCCGTCCCCCCCCCCACTTCCCCGCATCTTCCTATGTAGATAGAACTGTGGGAAAGTTTGTCCTCTTTACCTGCTCCGCTCACCTGATTTTTTTTCTTTTTCTTCCAAGTTGATGATTGCAATGCACTTGGAGCTGCCAAGCCGTTCAAGATGCTCTGAGTTTGTCTTAGGTCAATAGTTTTATGTGAGAAGCCTCCTCCAGGGCACAGTGGATTGGAGGGGAAAGATGTGGAAGCAGTTACAGTATGAAAGACACATGTTGAGTCAGCCCTGACGACTCAGTGATAATGACAAGAGGTGTCTTTGTTATTAAAGAAATGACACGTGTGGAACAGGAGTCTAGGAGAACTCCATAAAACATGAATTGAAATGAAAATGCCAGGAAAATGAGGGTCTGTGAATAGTAGGCTCAGGAGAGAATATATTAAGGTTGCATCACGGAAGTTGCTTTTACCAGGGAATGAATTACATGCTTCATTTTTGAATGTGAATCGCCTAATATGCAGTCACAGATTCACAGATGTGAACTTTCTCTTGAAAAGATTAAGCTCTTTACTTTCTTTAATTACAGATTATGTCTACTTTGAGAATTCTTCCAGCAACCCGTACCTAATCAGGAGGATAGAAGAACTCAACAAGGTATACACTTGCGTGTTCTTGATTCTAATATTAAAAAATAATTGTTTCTATTGAAGATAATTGGGTAAAGAGCATAAGAGGTGATTTTACTTTGTCTCAGACTTTCTGGAATTAGAGACTTCGGATTAGAGAATTATGCAGGATTCTGAATATTCTTTGCCTTTTTATAATTACCTCTGATATTAAATGTTATTGAATATTTAACATCTGCAGATTTCTTCAAATTGCTTAAAGTTTCTCAGAGAAGGTCATTCCTGTAATTCAGTCCCTTTTTATAGTTAGAGTCATAATTTTTAGGGAGTTAATTTTTTCCTCTTCCAGCTTTAGAAGGAGGAAGCTAGCAAAGATAATGTTGAAGGGAACTTGTAAAATTCTGCCCTAGGCTAACTAGTATAATATAAAGTGGCTGTGTAGCTTAGGTCCAAGTAAATAAAACTTTCTCTGATCACAGGTGTCCAAGGACATCAGAAGCATTATGACTGTAGTAGATGAGCGTTTACAAAGGAGGCACATGAAAACATGGCCATCAACTGCAGGAACCATAGATTTCTAATGATGCTCTGGTTTCCTCCACACCCCCTTGAGGGTTATTTGTGTAGCTTATGAGAAGGCATTGTGTTAAAATGCTTGGGCTTTCTAGTTGATAACTTTACCCCGAAATATCATCTGGAGACTGGTCCAGTTCTGAATCTCAGGAAGCCAGGTCTGATCAGGGACACGCCTGTCTTACAATCCTTGAGATCTTGGTTTGCTTCTGGGATTATAGCAGGGGCCTTGCATTTTAAAATATATATATATATTTTATTGATTTTTTGCAGAGAGGAAGGGAGAGGGATAGAGATTTAGAAACATCCATGAGAGAGAAACATCCATCAGCTGCCTCTTGCACACCCCCTACTGGGAATGTGCCCGCAAACAAGGTACATGCCCTTGACCGGAATCGAACCTGGGACCCTTGAGTCCGCAGGCCGACGCTCTACCCACTGAGCCAAACCGGTTAGGGCGGGCCTTTGCATTTTTAAAGCTTCTGTAGTGTTTGTGACCACCGCCAAATGACGACAATGGCTTCAGGACTGGAGCAGTCTGTGAGTGGGAACCTCCACTCTTGCTGCTCTGCACCTCCCTCATTTGGCTCCAAGCATGGTAGACAATGAATGTTATTTCACTGCTTCTCACACGTGACAGTTTAGTTGTTACCATTCTCTTGTACTTTGCTCTTGTTTCCATATCTTTTATCACCTTTTAATATACGTAATTATTGTTCTGTTTTCATTGCTGTTTCCCCAAACTAGAATGTAAGCTCAGTGTGTGTAATGATTTTCTCTGTTCACTAGTTCATCCCAAGTGTCTTAGAATAGTGGCTGGCCCATGGTTATGACATTAATAAATATTTGTTGAATTAATGGATTTCTCAAATGTCTGCTGTTAATAATTGTACATAGTTTTACTGTTTACAAAGTATTTCGATTCATTTGTTTTACAGATATCTCTGAGAACCTGCTACTTGCCAGGCACTTTTAGATAGGCACTTTTAGGAATTCAGGGATGAACAAAAATAAAAAAGTGGCGACAGACATCAGCCAAATAATCCCACATGAAGGAAATTGCAGCTTTGCTAAATTTATAAAAATCAGAGCGTGATTGTCTGGAAGCATATAATCTGGGGATTCACATTTGTTACCTCTGTTGAACCTCACAATGGTAACCTTAAACCTTTAAGGTAGATGCGTTATGAATTGTGGTCATGAGGCACACAGTGGTTAAATGACTGGGTTATACATGGAGCTTGAACATAGATCATTTTGCACTCCTTTATATTACCGTGCATTTCAAAAGTACCCCACCTGGCCCCCACAGTCCTCACCTTCTCCCTGCCTCTCTGCTTTCAGCAAAGATTCATTAATATAATAATTGTCTTTTGGGAGCTGGGGATGACAGAATTGAGGAATGGGATTCTCTTTAATGTCAAGAATGGCAGTTTGATTGGATGGAGTATTGGTAAACAGGAACTGAGATTGGTTAGTTAAGTACTAAATATATATGTAGGGCCTTTATTTCTGAAGGGGTGTGAAAAAGATATTTTTATTTTTTTAATTTATTGTAATGGGATCCACACCAAGAGGAATGGGTGAAGGGTAAAGATACCTCACTTTAAATAATTCATTAAACAAATATTTCTTGAGCACCTATTATGTACTAGGGGCTATGCTAGGCTCAGATACAATATTGAACAGTATGGACACGGTCCCTGCTTACATAAAGTCTGTGTTCTCATGAATGAGATGAGGGAGATACATGAAAAGATGTTAACAGGCATAAAGAAACTACTGATAGCCCAGCCAGTGTGGCGTAGAGGTCGAGCATTGACTTATGAACCAGGAGGTCATGGTTCGATTCCTGGTCAGGGCACATGCCTGGGTTGTGGACCCAATCCAGGAGGCAGCCAATCAATGATTCTCTCATCATCGATGTTTCTCTCTCTCTCCCTCTCCCGTCCTCTCCGAAATCAATACAAATATATTGAAAAAAATAGTGATAAACTGTTAATTTCTAAGAGGGAAATAAGCCTTGCGTAAGGAATAATAGAGGTCACTTCCTTTGGACAGAGAAAGAAGGATATTAAGGACATTGAAGTTGAGGCCTAGAGGATGAGAAAGAGGCAACTGTGAGAGAGAGGCCACAGAGTGTTCCAGAAAGGCCTTGCCTATTCAGAGGTCAAGTTTGCAAAGTGGGGAAAAGTTAACATGATTGGACAATCCAAATAATGATTTTAAGAACACTTGATATATAATTGATAAGCCAGAAGAAGAAGAGACATTAACCTATTTTATTAACTATTTTATCTTCTAAATAGAATTTTTAAAAAGTCAAATTCCTAGGATAAACTGTCAATCACCATTGTAATAGAAAATGCGCTTTTATATGCTGGTTCCTGGTTTTTAAAAAAGATCCAATTTAAAATGTTACTTGCTTAGGTTGAAAGCTGGACTACAGGTTTTTTTGTTTGTTTGTTTTTTAATTACAGTAATATATTTTAGTCTCAATTTTTCTGGAAAAGTTTTGGGAACTTTTATGTGCAAAACTAAATACGTATCATTTGATGAGCATAGTTCAACATTGGTTATCATATGTTCCCTCTTTTCTTCTCTCCTAATTTGTACCCAGATATAGTGAAGATGATTTTTTGGAGGAAGAATATAAGGTTAAAATAGAAGAAAACTTTTTGGTAAATTTTATTTAGTCACTACCTAGGTTGGGTGTTGGTCTTGCTTCTAAAGATTGAGTCTACATACATGTTGGAAGAAATCTTTCTGCACCTAATAATGAGGATGTAGTCACAGAGACTTTTGCTTGTGGATAAATTAACATGTTATTTACTATTGGGTTTTTTTTGGTTATTATATTGTATAATTTATGTATCTTCACATTCTGCACATTTTATTAATCTTCAAACTTGCTCTGAGATTCATTTGAATGTTTAGGGTCTTAAAATTTTTTGGTGGGGGAGAGGGGAGTCATATGTCTTTAAGCATCTGATGACCCCCCACCCCCCCATCTACATTTGCACATAATTTCAGAAGATACTCTCAAAGCCCCTTTTATGGAATGCAAGTTAATACCCATCCTATCATTTGGGATCTTTTGGGACTAAGCACAGAAATTGGGAAAGGAAAATCACTTTCCACTTGTTCTTTACTTTGGTTATATCATGGATTTTCTGAAATGGAAAGTGGTGTTTTTTTTTAAAATATATTTTTATTGATTTCAGAGAGGAAGAGAGAGGGAGAGAGAGAGAGATAGAAACATCAATGATGAGAGAGAATCATTGATTGGCTGCCTCCTGCACGCCCCCCACTGGGGATCGAGCTGCAACCCTGGGCATGTGCCCTTGACTAGAATCGAACCTGGGACCCTTTGGTCTACAGGCCTATGCTCTATCCACTGAGCCAAACCAGCTAGGGCTGGAAAGTGTTTTTTTAATTAAAAAAAGTACTTTATAAGTATGATATAGAAACAAACATGAGTATGAGGTTGACTGAAATTATTTTAGAGCTTAAGAAAGCCTCTTATCGCTAGCTAGGGGATACTTAGTAAACATGTTTGACAGAATAGAGAGTTTAAGATGCTGCAACCTAAATGGAAAAAAGAACCCAGAAAAGAGCCCTAGCCACTTTGGCTCAGTGGATAGGAGAGCATCGGCCTGCGGATTGAAAGGTCCTGGGTTTGATTCCGGTCAAGGGCATGTACCTTGGTTGCAGGCTCCTCCCCGCTGGGCCCTGGTCTGGGCCCTGGTCGGGGACTCCTGCAGGAGGCAACCAATTGATGTTTCTCTCACCTCAATATTTCTCTCTGTCTTTCCTTCTCTCGTCACTCTCTCTAAAAATCAATGGAAAAATATCCTTGAGGATTAAAAACAAACAACAACAACAAAAAACCCCAGAAAAGAAATTGATGTACATTATCGGTTCTTTATACATGTCCCCACTTTCCCCACCTGTGGGTTTTTGCTCTAGGCCAGTGGTTCTCAACCTTCCTAATGCCGGGACCCTTTAATACAGTTCCTCATGTTGTGGTGACCCCCAACCATAAAATTATTTTCGTTGCTACTTCATAACTGTAATTTTGCTACTGTTATGAATCGTAATGTAAATATCTGATAATGCAGGATGTATTTTCATTGTTACAAATTGAAAATAATTAAAGCATAGTGATTAATCACAAAAACAATATGTAATTATATATGTGTTTTCCGATGGTCTTAGGCGACCCCTGTGAAAGGGTTGTTCGACCCCCAAAGGGGTCGCGACCCACAGGTTGAGAACCGCTGCTCTAGGCCTTTTTCTTTTTCTTTGACAGTTCAGTCCTCCAGGCTTCAGCTGTTGGGACTCCTTTCCTTCTTTCCTAGCATGCTAAGGTATTCTCCACCTCATTTCCTCCATGAAACTTTTTCTGTCCTTTCCATGAGTGAGAAGTGGAGTCTGGAGGGGAGAGGAAGAAGTAAAGGAAAATTGTGCTGGGAATATTGTCAGGGATGTTTTACCTTTATGTTAGTTGTGGGGAACCAGTGGAGGTGTCTAATCAGGTGAGGGACAAGATAACTGGGTTTTGGAAGATTTGGAGAAGAGATGACATGTGACCAGGCATCCTTGCTGGAGTGGAGGCTTAGTGAGGGCAGGCACCATGTATCTGCAGTGCTTAGCTCAGTGCTTGGGCACATAGGAAGGACTCAAAAATTTTTGGTGAGCCCTGGCCTGGTAGCTCAACTAGTTAGAGCATCATCCCCATTAGAGCATCGTCCCCAATACCCTGAGGTTACAGGTTCAATCCCTGGTCAGGGCACATACAAGAATCAACCAATGAATGCGTTAAATAAGTGGAACAACAAATTGATATTTCTCTCTCTCTCTCTCTCTCTCTCTCTCTCTATTTATATATATATATATATATATATATATATATATATATATATATATATATATATATATCTGTCTGTCTCTTTCCCCCTCTCCCTTCTCCTTTTCCCCTTCCTCTCTCTCAAGAATCAATAAAGTTAAAAAATTTTGGTGAATAACCAAAGAATATATATATATGTCTCCAGGCTTTATTTAACCTAGGTCACAGAGCAGTGTTTTTCGAGCTATTTGTGGTAAAGAGTTTTCACTATCTCAGATTGCTTTTGTAATATTAAAAAGGCAGAAAAGTTAAATTTGAAATAGGCTTATAAAAATACAAGGTCCCGCCCTGACTGGTTTGGCTCGGTGGATAGAGCGTCAGCCTGCGGACTGAAGGGTCCCAGGTTCGGTTCTGGTCAAGGGCATGTACCTTGGTTGTGGGCACATCCCCAGTGGGGGGGGGGGGGGGGTGCAGGAGGCAGCTGATCGATGTTTCTCTTTCATCGATGTTTCTAACTCTAATCCTCTCCCTTCCTCTCTGTAAAAAATCAATAAAATATGTTTAAAAAAAAATACAAGGTCCCATTTTTCATTGTTAGATTCAATAGCTATAAAATTAACTCTCAAATGCTATAATATACATACTCTCAATCCTGTACTCATTTTATTACATAGTACATACAGTGTGGACTGAGTCTTGGACCACATTTTGGTAGCTCAGCTTTAGAGGGATGCTTGAGGGTGTGTATGTGTGTGTATTGTAGAGAAATACTGTAGTCTTAAACTACCTAATAGCCAAGTGTGTACATAGTCCAGAAGAGAATATTTATTTTGAACTATGCCTCTCCATCCCAAGCATGTTTAAATAAGAATTTAATTAGCTTCATAGAGTATTCCTATGGAAGGAACTCACTGGTGAGGCAGAAAAACTATTCCTTGAAACTCTTGTTTTGGGTTTTTAATATACTTTTAGGTCAAGAAGACAAAAATGATAAAGAGCTTATAATTGAAGTCATTGATAGATTTTATTTACGTGGGAATATTGGCTTGCTCTTTTAGCAGATTGCTGGATCATTATTGCTGGAGGATATATTCGATCACAATATTGTGAAATATAGAAACACTTCGGTTAGGACTTAATATGATTTCAATTTTAAGGGGCAGTATTTCTCTAAGACTATTTTTCACTCTAAAACTGCTGCTGAACTTCATAAAATTGACAAATTTACCGCAGCATATATATATTCTTATTTCTGTATGTTTGAATATATCTGTACGCCCAGAGAAATTCTGAAAATTTGTTTTTAAACGTGTTTGAAATTGGAAATCACAGTAGCTTTTTATTGTTCTCTATATGTTTTTACAAGGAACTTTGTAATGAATGATTGACCTTCTTGAAAGCTCTCAGAATTCATAAAGAATAGGAGTGTTGGAGCCTGGGCCCCAGCTGCAGTAAATTACAACTTAACTGAATATTGATTGTATTCTAGACTGTAGTCAGAAAGAAATAAGAGCTTCAGTGTTCATAACTCAAGGTTTTTAATACTTTCCTGTGGGACGGTAAAGTAAGTACTACTAAGATTATTGACTATTATGGGTTCATAGACTCCCTTAGGCTGGAGAATGCTTTTCTAAGTCATCTGGCCCATTCTGCATGATGGCTGTCCTGTACCTACAGAGCTTCCTCATGAGTCCATTGTGGGGATGTGCAGGAGAAGGCTGGGTGATTCTACTCTTAGCCTGTGCTTCTGGGCGTAGTTTTAGAGGAGATATGTTTAACTGTCTTAAATAAATCCTATTGTGGCTTTTGATGTTTTTGGGATTAGTTTCCTAAGGCTAATCAGATTTAACTGTGTCTGGCTTTATTTGTTAAAACGGTCTGATTACTTTAGTTTAATTGATGCCAGAAAGTTATTTTATGTTTGACATATTAGTTCTACTTGGAACCGGAACAAATGTTGCTCATCCTCATTTGAGTGTTTTAGCTCTCTGATTATTCTGCAGTAGTGGTTGGCACAGTGTAAATGAGAGTGATCTTATAATTGTGCTGTATCTAGTTTTGTTTTATAAACTACTTGAATCTAATACTCAGTACAGATGACTTTTGTTTTTCTTATTTCTTAGACTGCAACTGGCAACGTGGAAGCAAAAGTAGTATGCTTCTATAGACGACGAGATATTTCCAACACGCTTATAATGCTTGCAGATAAGCATGCTAGTAAGTTGTTTTTTTTTTCTTGGATTAATAAAAAAATGTTTTAAGTCTTTCATTATCCATGATGCGAGGAAAAAACCTTTTTTGTTACCTGTAGTTTTTGCTTTCTAATTTGTCTTCCTCTTAGTTTAGATGGGAGTAATTTTTTTGGGTGGTGCTTGGTTTTAGTATATTTTTTTAGTTTGCATCATATGTTTCTTAATTAGTCAAAATGTTGAAATAGAAGTCTTTGCAAGTAGGCTTCAGCAGACAGTCAGGGCAGTGTTTTGCCATCTCTCATTTTTGATGGTGGTTTGAGTGTACAAATAGGAGGAAATTTATACTTCACTGATATTTTCTTGGAGGACTTCCCCCGCCCCCTAAATAGCTGGTTAATATTTACATTTTTAAAAATTCTGAATATTATGTTTATTAGGCATGTATTAAAAATTGCTAGGAAAAAATACAAAGTGATGTTTAGATACTCATTCCTATAGGTAACAACTCTGAGCACTTCTTTTTAAAAAAAATATATTTTTGCCTGGCCAGCACAGTTCAGTGGTTGAGTGTTGACCTGTGAACCAGGAGGTCATGATTCGATATCTGGTCAGGGCACATGCTCGGGTTGTGGGCTTGATCCCCAGGGTGGGGCATGTAGGGGGCAGTCGATCAATGATTCTCTCTCTGTTTTCTTTCTTTCTTTATATTTTATTAATTTCAGAGAGAAAGGGAGATGGGGAGAGGAAGAGAGGTAAAAACATCAATGATGAGAGAGAATGTACTCCGTTATACATTTTAAGGTTGACATAAAAAATTTTTCTTCAAAATTTAAATAGTTGCAGAAATATTTCTAGTGTGTTATAAATACTGACATTTAAAAATTGTTGATTCTGTTAAAAAAGAAATTTTGCAACCATTTGACCATCCGTCATAGGTTAAAAAAATGTATGAACAAGCTCTGTTTTAACAGTTTGAAATCTTATGTGATCCCTTTTTTTCCTTGAGCTCCTTTCCATTTTTTTTCTCCACAGAATTTTAGCCTGATGTAGTTTTATGTTTGATGGGTTTCATCATGTCATTCTCAGTAACAAAAATGAATGTATAAATTAAAATGTAAAACCTGTTTATATTTCCTGTGTCCATAAGGCTCAGTCTTGCTTTCTTTTGGACTTATTATAATTATAGTACAAATATTATAAACTGTTTGATAATTACTCAACATAAAAATACATTTTTACTGGAAATCATCTCTTAACAAGATGGATGGAGCTTACTCTCATCCAAAATAATGTGTCCTTGCAATACTTGGGTTGCGGGCACATCCCCAGTAGGAGGTGTGCAGGAGGCAGCTGATCGATGTTTCTAACTCTCTATCCCTCTCCCTTCCTCTCTGTAAAAAAAATCAATAAAATATTTAAAAAAAAAAAAAAAAAAAAAATACATTTTTACTGGAAATCATCTCTTAACAAGACACTCTTGTATGTTCTGGTGGTGAGCAGTGAACAGAGCAGCAGAAATCCCTGATCTCAGAGCTTACAAATGGCATTGATTCCATTCCTGATTTTTGTGTTTATAGATGTAAGTTCTGACAAACTTTTTAACTTCAGTAAGTAGATGAGAATGGTGGAGTTTTGCTCATTTATTGATTTATCAGGTATATTTTGAGCTCCTGGTGTGTTCTGGACACTCTTGTATGTTCTGGTGGTGAGCAGTGAACAGAGCAGCAGAAATCCCTGATCTCAGAGCTTACAAATTATCTCATTGTTTGTTCTTCTGAGTTGTATGTGAAAAAATGATGTAGCAGTTTTTCATCAAAAGTGATTTTTGAAATGAGTTAGCAGCTGACAATTCAATTAGAACCTCCTTCAGTTTTGCCGAGAGCAGAGAATTTGAAACCATCAAGCTTGGAAGAGGTTTGTTAACCAGTCATTAGAGTCATTCATGGTTTCATTTTCTGAGACGCACAATAAAAAGGCTTTAGCAAGACCTAACAAATGACTGTTAATTATACTTTTTACTTTCACACATAGGGATTGTATTACCTATGGTTCTACCAGAAAAAGATATATGTCTTTCTTATATATACGTATACTTTCCTATGCATCCACAGGATCACCAACTGGTTTATATAAATACTAGCGGCCTGGTGCATGAAATTCATGCACAGGTAGGGTCCGTAGGCCTGGCCAGTGATCAAGGCCGATCTGTGGACCAACCGGCAGGGCGATCAGGGGACCCCCACTGGCACCTGCCTTGACCAGCCTGGCGTCTCCTGCTCACCGGCCCCGCCCCCGCAGTTGCCACTGGTTGCCTCCCTCTGTGGGGCTATTGGCAGGGCAATCGGGGGGCCCCCTCTGGCACCTGCCTTGGCTGGCCTGGGGCCTGCAGGCTGGGGGCAGCTCCTGCATTGAGCATATGCCCCCTGGTGGTCAGTGCACGACATAGCAACTGGTTGCTCCACCGGTCGCTCTGCTGTTCTCAACTTGCATATTAGGCTTTTATTATATAGGATAGGATGTAAAGGGATTTAGTGCACGTAATAGACTAAGATTGTGGGGGTTGGCCAGGCAAGTCTGAAATCTGATGGTGAGGCCTTTCAACTGATTGGATGAAGCCCACCCAGATTACTAAGGATAATACCGTTTACTTAAAGCCACCTGATGTTAATTGCATCTACAAAATATTTTCACAGCAACACCTAGATTAGAGTTTGAATAGCCTACCTAGCCAATCCAACAGAATTAACCATCATAGGGACCTTATTTAAACCAATATACTTAGAAAGGTTTGGAAAAGTTGAAGTAATGTTCAGTAAGTATACCTTTATATTTTAAATTCATGTCTGATAAAATGTTCAAATCTTAATATTATGTATGTCCTTAAAATGTATTTAAATATATGATATGTAAATTAATACTAATATATAAAGTATTTATATTTTCATCAGATTATTGGAACTGTAGATTTTATTTATTCGTTTGTAGAAAATGACCACCAGTAAACCTTAATGGCAAACCTAGTCCTTATTGACCAAGTAGGCAGCTAAATCACACTGATTTTTTGTCAGAAAGTCTGATTCCTTTTGCCAATTTTATTAAATGAGTATTATGCATTTCCAAGGCAACCATCTTCTGAATTCTAAGATAGTCTCCTGGATAATGCTCAAAGCCTCACTGTGCTGGACTAAGGCCTTCTGTTGTTTTCTTACAGATGCTCTTTGTTTTTTTGTTTTCTTGGGACTTTTTTTTCGGGAGCTATGCATTTATTTTTGACCACCATTCACTGTTTGGAAACAGTGAAGTCTTTAAGTGAAATTGTTCATATATCTCCCTATTGATTGATCGGTAGGTAGATATCTGATGTCATAGTCAAATATTTTTGAATTTATAACATTCTAACACTGGGCAAAATGCCTCAGTTCTAACACCACACTTCTCTGTAACTGAAATATGTATAAGATGCAAAACGCTTTGTGTGAGTTTCTGATATCTTGGTTAAAGAAGCTTTGATTTTGTCACTGGTGATCCCTGTGTGGTGCCTTGCAGGTTTCTACTCCCTTGAGTTGTGCTCCACTCTAAGATATGGGTGGTTGAGAGGTGGGTGAGAGAGGGGCAGTGGGATGAGAATAGAAGGATCAATCAGCCTGATGCCTTGAGCCTGTGCTAATTCTCAGGGAAGATCAGTAGGAACTAGTGCATGTGGAAGATGGTCTAAAAATTGACCTCCTTAAACCTGTGTTTCTGTGTGCCCCTTGGAATGTCTTCATGTGTCCTCAGAGGGGTTCAGGTTCTTTTCAAGACTTCAGATACACTGTACCACTTTTCCTGGGCCTTTTTTCCTTATCTTGGAGATTCTTTCATATCAGTACTTTCTTTTTAATGGCTGCATGATAGTCCACAGTTTATGTACTGTAGTAATTTAACCACTCTGTACTGGTGGAGGGTTCTGTTTTTTATCTTTTGTTCTCAAGCAGTTCTTCAGAGTACTTACCATGTAGACACAGGTATGAGGACAGCATTTATATTTAGCATAGATTCCTAAAATTGTAGTTGTGGGGCCAAAATGTAGTGTGTTGTAATTTTGATAGATATTGCAAAATTGCCGGCCTCAGACAGGGTACAGTTTATACCTACCAGTAATGAATGAGTGCTTATTCTCTCCCACCCTAACCAATATAGTTTACTATCATGTTTTTGGTCTTTACTAATTTAATAGGTGGGACATGATACGTTGATATAGTTTTATTTGTATGTTTCTTATGAAAATGTGGCTTTCTTATAAAATTCATTTATATATTTTTTTCTGTGAACTATTTATATTCTTTACCTATTTTATATTGAGTTTTAACTTTGGCTAAATTAATTTGTAGGGAGAAAATCTTTAGTTAACTCAGTAGGGAATAAAGAAAAGCAAATATCCTTACATTTAAACAGACATGTTTAAACTTATATTTTTTCCTCTCCCCTTAACATCTTCTATATATATAAAAGGCTAAGTAACCGACCGTCTGTCCCTCTGATACATATGATGCACACTGGCAATCTAAAAATAAACGTTGACTTACGCATGCGCGATATATATAAAGCTCTCACTGGCGCCAATCGCACACGTGTGTTTCGATCTGTCATTGTCAATCATGAATTTGGTTGTTTTTGTTGACATTCTGAAGCTGAAAGAAAGCAGTGTCGTAGTCGACAGAATATGTCTGAAGACCAACTACTGGCACAACTATCCCCGTCTGACATTGGCCTCCCATTTAAATTAATTCGAAGACAGTTTCCTGTGATGCCAGCATTTGCGATGACTATTAATAAATCACAAGGACAAACTCTAGACCAGGGGGTCCTCAAACTTTTTAAACAGGGGGCCAGTTCACTGTCCCTCAGACCGTTGGAGGGCCGGACTATAGTTTAAAAAAAAACTATGAACAAATTCCTATGCACACTGCACATATCTTATTTTGAAGTAAAAAAACAAAACGGGAACAAATACAATATTTGTATTTGCATGTGGCCCGCGGGCCG